ACCATTATTAATTATGTTATGTACAAAAAACGAACTTGTCGTTCCTTCCATAGTCACGTTTCTATGTCCAAAAACGAAAACAAAAAAAAATAATAAGAAAGAAATACACAACACGTAAATCGTCCCCGTTTTTTACTGATTCATCCAGGACACAACAGCTTCTACATAACAATAATTGTCATCGAACTCGAACCACGTACGACGAAGAGAAGACCACCATCATCAATATTGTAGACCAGCATCTGCGTTTACGCGCCACAACGAGGAGGCAGTCGTTGTAGTTCGAAACATTGCAACAGAAGTTATTTATGAATGAAAACCACACACCGATGCCGTTTGAGATCAAAATAATTTTCGAATAAGAAGCCATTGCAGACTTTTATAGTAGAGGATGACGAAACAAATTCTTCTATCTTCAAGTCCAATTAGCCATCATCCTTAACAAAAGAGAAGTTATTTTTTATCGAAACGTACCCCACTCTTCTTTTATTTTTAATAAATCCAACAAAAAATCGATCGAAATCAATCACTTTAGTCGATGACATTATCGTCTAATCTTCGTCTGAAAGGGGTTCATACTGCGCAGAAAGCAGTGGTTTTGGTTCGACGTTCCTGGCAGCATCGTTCACCCCCGCGTTATCACTTTGCTTGTGCGTCATGTAAGAGTAAGAGCCGTAAGCTCCCGTGGGGGGTTGCTGGTGTTGCTGCTCGCTCTCGTGCTTCTCCTCGTCGATCACCATATCACCTGGACTATCACTTCTGTCTTTATCGTGCATATTAACGCCATCTTGCACCTCCTTCTTATCGTCCTCCGTTCTCATCACCTCCACAATCCTGTTCTTGACATAATCGAGTGCGGACATATTGTGCGACTGTTGTTGTTGTTGCTGCTGCTGTTGCTGTTGTAGTTGTTGCTGCTGTTGGTATCGCCTGTAGTTTTGCTCGGACCAATGGTTGCTTTCCGGTGGGGAGACAGGTTCGACGTGGTATTTTTGGGCTTGAGCGATCCGTATTATTTGACGTTCGTCATGGGGGGTGATCGATCGCTTTCCCTCCTGTTCCTTCTGTTGGACGTGACGTTTCCACGCGTCGTGGTGGGGGTGATGATAGTAGGTAGGGCCGCAGGCTGCCGATTGACGCGCGGCTGCGGCCGCCGCCCCGAAATCGTGTGCGATCACAGTGTCTGCCAATTCTTTGATCGTTAGGCTTTTCGAATTGGCCGTGTCGCCATCGAGGTCGACACTGATGACGGACGGAGGTCTTTCGCCATTGTCTTGCTGTTGTTGCGCGGCTTGCTGTTGTTGTTGTTGAACGAGAGCTGCGGCAGCCTGTTCGCGGGTAAACGACTGGAAGAGGCGGTCGCTGGCTCGCGCCGGTTCCCTACTGTTGGGCACCGACTGACCACCTTGAAGGAAAAAACGCGGTTTCGTTACTAGGGAGAAAAGAGAAACGGAAAAGTTTTAATTGTTAATATTCTCCAAGAAGAAATGCTAAAGTGAAAAACAAAATACACAAACAAAAGAATAATATAAGCATGTAAGAAGAAGACGTCCTTCAAAATCACACACGCACATTCTAAAAAATGGAATGGACATTTTTCTTATAAAGAAATCGAAATAAGTCGCAATAATTTCGAAAGAAGTCACTATAAAACATGAAATATTGTCATTGTGAACGCTAAATATCCCGTTGTTTATGGAAAATGTCCATCTTAATTGTCCAAATACCAAATTATTTACCAAGTGTACATGCGTACTACGCTACTAAATTAATTAAAGGCCACATAATCAGACACAGAATGATGCAAAATTACTGTAAAAGAATCTATATATATGTACAAACAGCAGACTGAAAGTTAATCAATTCCTGTGGCAAATTAATATAAAAATAATTTTTGTGTTGTACATAAATTTAATAAAATGTTGAACAAGCATCAGAAGTGTTAAGAATTTCGCATACATACACATACACTCATGATAAATGGATTAGATTAGAATAATGAAAGCGTCACAGTTGAATAGAAAAATAGTGATGATGCCCTACCTTCCGCAGTTTGATTCAGCATATTAATTTACATTTACACTTTTCATCCTCATTCGTTAATTTCCAACGGTTTTTACAAATCATTAAGTCAAGAAGAGTAAATTAAAGATTAATACAATTTAATAATAATAGCTAGGTTTTCATCTTCATGTTTATTTAATTTTTTAAATGAATGGACGCTAAAAGAGGCAGAGACAGACAGCGCGTGCGGTATATGCGAAATCGTTTCCATTTCCGGTTTCCATGCTCACTTTCGTCTTTATCGCCTCGTCATTCGCAGAAACCGAAAAGGATCGAAAACAGCCGAAACCTGCTGCCCAATGAGGTCATCCTTTTTTCGAATTATTTCACCTTACAAATCTACACATCACTTGTAATATTATCCTCTTTTTCATGTTTATATTTTAATATTATATTATTATTATTCTTATCATTATTATTATTAATTATGTTATGTACAAAAAACGAACTTGTCGTTCCTTCCATAGTCACGTTTCTATGTCCAAAAACGAAAACAAAAAAAAATAATAAGAAAGAAATACACAACACGTAAATCGTCCCCGTTTTTTACTGATTCATCCAGGACACAACAGCTTCTACATAACAATAATTGTCATCGAACTCGAACCACGTACGACGAAGAGAAGACCACCATCATCAATATTGTAGACCAGCATCTGCGTTTACGCGCCACAACGAGGAGGCAGTCGTTGTAGTTCGAAACATTGCAACAGAAGTTATTTATGAATGAAAACCACACACCGATGCCGTTTGAGATCAAAATAATTTTCGAATAAGAAGCCATTGCAGACTTTTATAGTAGAGGATGACGAAACAAATTCTTCTATCTTCAAGTCCAATTAGCCATCATCCTTAACAAAAGAGAAGTTATTTTTTATCGAAACGTACCCCACTCTTCTTTTATTTTTAATAAATCCAACAAAAAATCGATCGAAATCAATCACTTTAGTCGATGACATTATCGTCTAATCTTCGTCTGAAAGGGGTTCATACTGCGCAGAAAGCAGTGGTTTTGGTTCGACGTTCCTGGCAGCATCGTTCACCCCCGCGTTATCACTTTGCTTGTGCGTCATGTAAGAGTAAGAGCCGTAAGCTCCCGTGGGGGGTTGCTGGTGTTGCTGCTCGCTCTCGTGCTTCTCCTCGTCGATCACCATATCACCTGGACTATCACTTCTGTCTTTATCGTGCATATTAACGCCATCTTGCACCTCCTTCTTATCGTCCTCCGTTCTCATCACCTCCACAATCCTGTTCTTGACATAATCGAGTGCGGACATATTGTGCGACTGTTGTTGTTGTTGCTGCTGCTGTTGCTGTTGTAGTTGTTGCTGCTGTTGGTATCGCCTGTAGTTTTGCTCGGACCAATGGTTGCTTTCCGGTGGGGAGACAGGTTCGACGTGGTATTTTTGGGCTTGAGCGATCCGTATTATTTGACGTTCGTCATGGGGGGTGATCGATCGCTTTCCCTCCTGTTCCTTCTGTTGGACGTGACGTTTCCACGCGTCGTGGTGGGGGTGATGATAGTAGGTAGGGCCGCAGGCTGCCGATTGACGCGCGGCTGCGGCCGCCGCCCCGAAATCGTGTGCGATCACAGTGTCTGCCAATTCTTTGATCGTTAGGCTTTTCGAATTGGCCGTGTCGCCATCGAGGTCGACACTGATGACGGACGGAGGTCTTTCGCCATTGTCTTGCTGTTGTTGCGCGGCTTGCTGTTGTTGTTGTTGAACGAGAGCTGCGGCAGCCTGTTCGCGGGTAAACGACTGGAAGAGGCGGTCGCTGGCTCGCGCCGGTTCCCTACTGTTGGGCACCGACTGACCACCTTGAAGGAAAAAACGCGGTTTCGTTACTAGGGAGAAAAGAGAAACGGAAAAGTTTTAATTGTTAATATTCTCCAAGAAGAAATGCTAAAGTGAAAAACAAAATACACAAACAAAAGAATAATATAAGCATGTAAGAAGAAGACGTCCTTCAAAATCACACACGCACATTCTAAAAAATGGAATGGACATTTTTCTTATAAAGAAATCGAAATAAGTCGCAATAATTTCGAAAGAAGTCACTATAAAACATGAAATATTGTCATTGTGAACGCTAAATATCCCGTTGTTTATGGAAAATGTCCATCTTAATTGTCCAAATACCAAATTATTTACCAAGTGTACATGCGTACTACGCTACTAAATTAATTAAAGGCCACATAATCAGACACAGAATGATGCAAAATTACTGTAAAAGAATCTATATATATGTACAAACAGCAGACTGAAAGTTAATCAATTCCTGTGGCAAATTAATATAAAAATAATTTTTGTGTTGTACATAAATTTAATAAAATGTTGAACAAGCATCAGAAGTGTTAGATTATGNGCATACATACACATACACTCATGATAAATGGATTAGATTAGAATAATGAAAGCGTCACAGTTGAATAGAAAAATAGTGATGATGCCCTACCTTCCGCAGTTTGATTGATTTGGTGTGTGATGATAGCGTCAATCAAACTGGCGGCTGTTAAAGTTGAAGAATCGCTTCTGGGCACCTGCTGTTGATGCCGAATTTGTTGTTGTTGCTGTTGCTGTTGCTGCTGCTGATGAAACCTTTAACGCAGAATGTGATAAGTTTGTTAAAAATCAATGATCTTGTACGTAATTATTATTTTTAAATCACTCACCTCCTCTCCGCCTCAATCCTCTGCTGTTGCTGTTGTCTGAGCTGTTGTTGATGTTGCTCCATCATCTGAAACCGTCTCGGTTGTTCCATCAAATTATCGACCATCGTCTTGCCCAGTCCCTCGTGCGTAGCACTTGGCGGTACGGGAAGGCTCGGTTGTTGAACGGCTACATCCACCAGCGACCCCAACGCCTCGTGTCCGGGGGGATAATGAGGCCTAACCCCTCCACTCACCTGTTGCTGTTGCTGCTGCTGTTGAGGTTGTTGCGTGTTGTGTCGCTGGATGACGCCCTGCCTTTGTTGCTGTTGCTGCTGTTGTTGAGCGGCAATAGACGACGGGGGCATTTGTGGAGGTTGCTGCGAGGGAGGAGGCGTTCGGGCATAATATTGGGCGGCAGCAGCCACCGCTGCAGCCTTATCACTGGCCGCTGCACGTCTTCCAAGCATCTGCTGCGATGTAATGTAATCGTTCATTATAATCTGACGAGAACTGAGCTGTTGATCGACGGAGTAGACTGCGGCAGGCGGTTGACGATATTGAGGAGGCGGATAACCGCCCGATTGGGGCGGCGGAGGCTGCGTAACTGACTGACGCTTGTTGTAATAGTCATACATACGTTTGTCCTATTAAAATTAAAAAAAATCTAGGGGTATAAATAAAATAATTCGAAGTGGTATTCTGTCGAAACTGCCAGACGCGGATCGTGATTTCGATCTTTTTGGATCTCATCAGCGCGTCGCAGACAGCTCCGACAGAACACAGACCAACTTTTACCTGCAGTCTTAACAGCGCGTTTTAGAAAATACCACAAATGGCGCGGTAAATGCCATCTGTAGTACGATGCTACATTAACGTTGAGGTTAGCTACGCCAGGGTTCGTTTAAGCAAGTAGATATCCATATATTTAAATGGATCTTGTTGGAGCATACGTAATCCTAAAATGTAGCAACGTACTACAGATGGCGTTTACCGCGCCATTTGTGGTATTTTCTAGGGGTATGAAATATTAAGATCTTTTTAAGCATAAGTGCACTTATTCGTGGAGTAGCAGTGACCATGCGCAATGATGTCAGAATTACGTACCTGCTGCATGTGAGGCACATGTATGGGAGTTCCTTGCGTTATCGATCCCATTTTCGATTCTGGCGTGATCTGTCTCAGTAGGCCTTCAAAACGAGGCTGATTGATGATGGGTGTGCCCTGAGTGATCGAACCCGTCTTAAGATTGGCCGGTTTTGGACTGGGCAATTTTGGCTGCACTCTCGGAGGTACCGCTGACACGTACACTGCCGGACTTTTCCTCTCCTAATGAAAACAATCAAAGTAGAAATGTCACTGTACTAATGCACTCTATTAAAATGTCACCTCTCTATGTTGATGGTAACCCATATACGGCGACTGTTGTTCTGATCTGTGACTGACAGGTGGTTGCGGGTGCTTGGGGTGCATGGGTGGCGCAAGATCCCTCGGTTTCTTTATACTCAAATCCAACGTTTCCGGCTCTCCTCCCCCTCTACCGTCTTGAACTTGTAACACCACCAAATCGTCTCGTATGACCCGGTCTTGTTGCGTTTGAGATGGAACTTGACCTATAAAAAAATATAAATTGTAAACGTTAAACAGTTACCGAATGCAATAATTTACTACCAGGTGCTGGAACGGGTGTGATTGTTGCTGCAATAAGGGGTGGTACCAGTTTCATAATTGACACCTCATTGCGCGCACTTCTCGGCACTTGGGCACTATTCAAGTTATACTCGCTCACAATGGTCACTTCGTTTGAATCGTTGTTCAATATGGACGAGATGGTGGGGGCCATATTCGCCACTGAAACAACTGAACATGTTACAATAAAATCAAGAACAACTAGCAAATACGACCAGATATACAACATCTTTGATGAGATCGCATGTAAACCATAACAAAGATTAAAAATAAAATAAATAAATAAAGAAGATGAACGTGGCTATGTAGGATGTAGTTAAACGAATTGTAAACGTACCGTTGGCATTAGGGGCTTGTTGTGGAGCTCCTGTTTTTTTCAATGTAATCTCTATCACGTTCGACATGAGGTCTTTGACGGTTAATGGAGAGGGACTCTGAAAAGTATAATGAAAATTACATAGAACATATATTATTTTTAATCATGTAAAATTCACATACTTCATCGGCAGTTTCGGTGGCTGACGTGTCGTCGTCTTCTTTCTTTACAACCCTCTGTATCGGATGTTGTTCTCCGTTGGTCTGGGGACTTTCGGCACTCGCTGTGTCTGATGAGTGTCTCTCCCTACTCGGTTCATCACAACTACTGGTACTGCTACCACTCTCTTCCTCATCTGTCAAGGTGGGTTTTCGATCACCCAAACAGTTCTCCAAGTTTAAGCGTTTCCTGTACAAAAAATTATGCTCGTTATGCCGATTAAAAGTTCAAACCACTCGACTTAAAAAGTAGTCACCTGTTCATCGAATAAAAGCTGCGAATCTGATGTGGCGGTCGATTCAATCTTTCTCCGATCAACTGCCAGTTGGCGCCGAATTCAGTCAACGCGTTTCGAAGTTGGTTGACTTCGTCTTCAGGCCAATCCTCGACCGGGCCCAGTCGACGTTGTATCCTGTTGAAACATGCCGAGCAACACTTTGTGACTCCACTTGGAATGTTAAACTCGTCCAGAATGCTCTCCCTAATCATACACAGAAATGCGATCGTTAGAAAAAGACTTCTTCTAACTTTAAAGAAATGGACAAAATTATTTCATAATCACCTGACATCCGATGGAAGTTCCTGTAATCGATGGGGAAATGAACGAAGACGTTTAACGCGTCCTCTGGCATTGGGACACATGGGCAGTGGACAATGGGTATATCTCGACCGCACGCACTTGCAACGACATGTGTTACAAACACGGCCACCAGGGGGCACCTGTTCTTCGCGCAATCCATACTGCGCAGCCTGTGATGGTGCCAGAGGGCGCGACTGTAAGCCTGAGCTTAACTGCGTCCCGCAAACGATACAGGCACCACCTTGACTGGCTTTATCTGACAAACGCAGAAAACAGATAAAATTAGACGACCATAATTATTAAAATCACTTTATAACAATTACATAATGTTATAATTCCATGATAACGAAAGAAAAAAAAGGAACGCAACACAAGTTACAAAAAATATTTATTGTACCACAGTGAACATTTCACCGCACAGTGGACAGTGGCTTCCACATAGAATGACGTCGACGTAGCTGTACTCCTATTGTCTAATCAAGCACATGATTTAGTACGTGAGTATATGAATTGTATGTGGCTGTAATGCCTTCAGCCAACGAGTAATTTCTGTGATAGCGTAATACGTGTGAAAGCTCGTATGTTCTCAAATTAATTCTGTTTAAAAAATAAATAGGTTCTGCCTCCGCCATTAAAAACAGCGTTTAAAAAAGGGGGTCCATGTATTATAACCTTGCGTCACATGCAACCACATTAAGATCATTCTCCAGGTATTTTATTTATTAATTTATGAAAATGTACTCGACCCTTTGAAAGCTTTATACAAGTAGAAGACTTAATTTAAAATTTTTCATCTGCAGTAATACAAATTTCTATGTGCGAATAAAAAAAAGAAAAGAAAAAGAAGTAAAATAAACGGTCTCTGAAGCAAGGTAAAATTAAAATACAACAATGGATACGGCTATTAGGAATGTCGGCCGGGAGTATAATAACATTCGATGGAAAATGATGGAGTGATGAGAGGATTCGGAGCAGTGTCACAACTTGAGCGAGCGAGAGAGGCTCTGTATGACGAGCGCGCAGATAGACAGACGGAACACCAGTGGAAATGAAATAGGAAGTAAATGGAGAGATGTGGGAGGGGGAGAGAGGGATTGGGACGAACGAGTCGGTTAAGCAACAAAGTCGAAAGCTGATGAAATATTCTCAAAGAATAAACGGACCGTTCTGTTTGTTTCATCTCCGCTTTAAGTACACAGCGATAAATATTTTATTTAATTATGAAAAGTGCCCCCACGGTCGACGTTCATCCAGTAAACCAACTGTACATACCTCTCTTATTATTAATTCATATGGAAACTAAATGGAAAATTTCATATTGCCCCCGTATGTCGTCGTCGTCCTCGTCGTCATGATAATAAAACGTGCACAATTATTTCTAGCAATTAAGCTGATACGATACCTACAAATGTACTATCTGTATGGTGTTTATAAAGGGCCACTTGATATTTTACTGTCCAAATACCTACTTTGAATTGCCGCCGAATCGTTGTAGTAATTAATACTGTTACACCAATAATATTAATAAATAATTAAACAACAACTACTCCATTTCCTTTGCACTACATACAATTCTCGATTAAGCGTAATTATTTAAACTAGAATCGTATTAATATTATGGATTATTGTGTTGTACTGTATTAAACATATTCGCCAGAAAGTAATTTATAAAATTCTAGTGAAAACCTAGTCGAAAAACAATAATAGTAAAGACTTGATGGTTCACCGTAGATATGTTTGTACTGAAAATCGGTGCACCAATTTTTTGACTATTAAAAAGTCCAATTAATAGGTATAACTGCAACTTGGACCTATTGTTAATAGTCATACAGCTATAGGGATAAATACATCAGTTAATTAATAATTTCTATAATATAATTAATCACTGTATATTTTCTGATCTAGAAAAGAACTACAAAAGTCAAGACTTTGTAATACGATGTTATAGATAATTAAATGACATCAACATGACTCAAACGGCAAATTCAAATATACTCCACCCCTTCTACAGAAAATTTTATAGAGGATCTGAAAAATGGCCTTGAAAAAAAAGCAGGTGTTATAGCGCCTACATAGCTATACTACTTTCGATATTCAGAATGTCGTTGATTAGAATTTTATTAAAAAATAAGGAATTTGAACGAAACTAGCCAATATATGCTTCTTGAGTATAAGTATATCGTAGATTCAGTTTATTAAATAGATACCTTTGCGAGCACTATAAAATACTACAAATGATTCAATTTTTCACATGAGTAGTTGCTCACTTTTACTCAATTTTTGCGTCAGCATATTTATGTATTACATTTTACTCTTTAGATGAGTAGAATTATAACAAAGACTCCTTTCAAGTCTCCAATTGGCAGTTCATTTTAAGAAAATATTTATATTATTTCCATAACAAATCGGTAGATAATTATTTCAATATTTTTTTTTGACGTGACAACGTCTTATAATTCGATGGAGCCGGCTGCACGCACGAAAAAACATGACTCATGCGGCGTTACCTCGCTCTGAGGCGTTCCATTTAAGGCTTGAAGTGCAAGCGAGAGCGTGGAACGAGCGACAAAGAGGCACAATCGGCCTCCGCGTTCGGCAGCGTTCGACATCTGTCTCTCTCCTACTTGAGTGAGCGATGCGTCCGCGTGGACAGCTGCTATACAATAATACATTTCCATTTACCTCCTTCTCTATATCCATACAAAATATCTATCAAACAAATAAAATTAAATTTTTCTTTAGAAAAATGAAACCATTCCATCAGTATTTTCTTATGACGTTGTCACGTTCAATTATCGTCAGTAAACCGACTTTACAGACAACCGATTTTTTTAATATAGTTTCCACACTTAATTAACTAGATAACTGCAATACAAAAGAAAACACTTCTCCCCCAATTTTCGCCTAAATTGTGGATATGTTTAAGTATTAAAACAAACTTAATGCAATATATCTATCCCTACAACCGGATAGGTATGTACTCGACGATCCCTTGAGAAAACCCCATATTCAACAACTAATTACACTGAAAGACATCTTAGCAAATTAAATTTATTTCTCCCCCCTTCAGCTGTACCGCCCTTTTAAGGCATTACAATTGTAAAAATCACTGCCAATCTAATTGAAAGCGATACTTAAACGTTATTTACATTAATTAGTTTATTGACCAGAACATCACAAAAAAAAGCAGTGAGATTTTAAGCCCTACTAAACATTTTTACAATGGTGCAGTGTACATACGTACAGATGATATATGAAGAACATAATTAATCCAGAATGCTAAAAAAACATAACTTTAATGTTTCTGTAAATCTATATATGTAAAAGAAATTCGTGTTAGTTACACTATTTATAACTCAAGAACGGCTGAACCGATTTGGCTGAAAATTGGTAGGGAGGTAGCTTAGAATCAGGAGACGGACATAGGATAGGATATTATGGTACCTAATTTCTTTTTTTTTTTCATATTTCTTAGTAAAGACATCAATCTTTTAATTTTAAATTTATTTTTTACTTTGTTACATTGTGGAAAAAATCGGTTGTCTGTAAAGTCGGTTTACTGACGATAGTTGAACGTGACAACGTCATAAGAAAATACTGATGGAATGGTTTCATTTTTCAAAAGAAAATTTTAATTTTATTTGTTTGATAGATATTTTGTATGGATATAGAGAAGGAGGTAAATGGAAATGTATTATTGTATAGCAGCTGTCCACGCGGACGCATCGCTCACTCAAGTAGGAGAGAGACAGATGTCGAACGCTGCCGAACGCGGAGGCCGATTGTGCCTCTTTGTCGCTCGTTCCGCGCTCTCGCTTGCACTTCAAGCATTAAATGGAACGCCTCAGAGCGAGGTAACGCCGCATGAGTCATGTTTTTTCGTGCGTGCAGCCGGCTCTATCGAATTATAAGACGTTGTCACGTCAAAAAAAGTGGTATAAGAAAACGCAACTGACATGGAATAACAAAAGGCAACTGACAGCTAAACGTAATGTTGTCTATGGTTAATTATGGTGTTTTATTTACAGTCAAATTTACCTGAAACTTGGCTTTAATGCTTTTTCATATAAAATTAGTGACATACATACCTACCTATTTCAACCTTTTAGAAAATTTTACCTCTTTAGGAAGCTGAAAGGGATTTGGAAAGATTGCATGTTTGTTTTTGGTCCGATTTACTTGAAACTGGTTAAAAACTTCAATCTCTGTTGGGGGGGGGGGATGCGTGCTGATGAGAAGTTGTAATTTTTAAATGGAACATATATTATTTGTGGTCAGATTTTCTTGAAACTTGGTCTTAATGGTCTCTCATTTAATTTCCGAGACCTATCTCGAAATGCAACCTCCACATGGGGGGGGGGGTGAAAAGGAGTTGCAATTTTTGTTTGGAACATACTTTATTTGTGGTTGAATTTACTTGAAACTTGGTATATATGCTGCTTAATATTATTAATGAAATGAAAAGAGGTTACAACATTTCCATGGGGTATATTTCACTTGTACTCGGATTTACTCGAAGGTTGCTCATTTTTGAAATTAAGCAAATACGTGTTTTGGCAATTGTTAAAAATCAACTCTTAAGAATGGAATGTTGCTACGATTGTATTTGAAATCTAAGATGACGACATTACATAAAATTAAAACGTTGTAAGGGTCGATTGGGAGTTAAAAGGAGAAAAACAATATTAATTTCTGCGAGAAAAGCCGCGGGGATAAGCTAGTTCGTTACAAAATTGAAGTTCACTACTGAGTTACTGTAGATAGTTGGTTTACAATTTTATTTATTCCCAAATCGAACACCCCATATCAATCTGCCTCTTATTTACTATTTCGTCAATTCATTAACGGTTGTAGATTTTAGGAAATATTGAATCGAATCTGTTGATTTGCAACGTAATGGAAATAAGTTAAACACATTTGGTGATTAATAACGTTGCGATTCGTATATTCATCCATGACTTCCGTCCTTTCCCCTTAACCCTTTTCTGCCTCGGTGCCATTGCGAAATTATAACAGATACTATTAACAAGTTGATTAACAAAGTCAGCAAAATTTGCTCAATCTCTTAAAGCATGCAGGAACGAAATTATCACGTCCGCGGCAACAAAAAGCAAAACTAAACAAGTACAACCTGTAAGTTCACAGAACGCGAAATAAATTGAGAATATGGAATCATGTAATCACAACACCAAATTAAAAAAATTTTTGAATTGTCCAACTAAAAACTAAAATAAAATTTTATTCTAAACATAAAAC